CAGATGGCTTCGCTCTGGCAGCCTCACCGCCCAGATGACAGCAGGACGGGGCCTGGCGTGGAGACGAGTCATTTGGGGGTGGCGGGGGACAGGAGTCGGGGACGACACGGCTTGTGGGGAACCGCTCACTGGGGACATGCTGCTTGCCTGTGTGCAGTCGTCCCGACCATCACTGCGGGGCACGGTCAGGGCCCGTCTGTGTGCACCGCTCATTCTTGGCGCTTCTCCCGAGGGCCGGTGTCCCTATCTGGGTTCAGATGTGACCTCGTCCACAGACATCAGGGGACGTGGACGCGTTTTCATGTGCTCTGGCTGGCGGGTCAAGGTTGTTCAGTTTTCCCACCCCAGAGACCACCTCATTCACTAGTAGCCACGACAGTGACCGTTCCTGGGCTGCAAAGAAGTTGATCTACCAATGAATCTAATCAGAACGACGCGATCAATAGCTGCCCTTAACAGAATCTACTGCCAGGCGCAGTGTCGATACCCATTAGGGGCTGATGACAATCTCCCTGGCTGGAGGATGAGACCCCGGAGACGAGGGCGGGGCAGGCTTTGCTTCTGTGCCCCTCCCTCCCAGTGCCAGCCTCAGGCTCCACCCCACAGCGGCATCGGCCCCTGGTCCGTCCGGGGTCTCCGCCCAGTCACTCCACTCTCAGCGGCCTTTCGAGCGAGTGCGGCCCTGTGCACGGCCGCACGTGGACTCGCAAGCTCTCGCTGCGGGCTGCGTCCTCCGCAGACCCGCCGGGGAAAGGCCACCGTAAACAACACTGGAATCCTGCTTCCCATCGCCCCAGCCCAAGGAGGTGCTCATGCTGGACTCAGGAGCACCCTCATGCTGCCACACAGCAAAGGCCACCTCAGGAGCAGCAGGGCCGGGCAAACACGCACAGCCCGGGCATAGCAGCTCGATCTCCCACCAGACCAGTTTGGCCCAAGCCTGCTGGCTACACACCACTGCCACTGTCCCCACGAGCTTGGACCCCTCCGCTGCAGGTCTGTGTCCTTGCCTCGCCAGGAGCGAGACCGCGAGTCCCCTCAGCACCAGGGTCGTGCTCCCGCAGGGGTCAGCGGCCCCGCTCGTGGTAAGCAGTGCGAATCCACGAGGGAATAAGACTTCCGAAGTTAGGGCAGGTTCTGAGTTAAAGAAACGGTCTGATCTTCCTGGGGATCAGCAAGTCACGGGACTTTGCAGCTCAGAAGGGACCTTGAGGGTCCCCAGTCCAACCTCATCTCAGGGACGGAGGTGGCTGTCCTCGGGGTGGGCGCTGCTGGGGCCGGTGTGGACCCCGGGGCCTCCTTCCCGCTTCCTGTCTTGCCCTCGGAGCTGCCTGCTGACTGGTCGTGGGACTCACCCGAGAGGTCGAAACTGGTCCGGATGTCAGGGCGAGGACCAAGTTCTGCGGCTGGGACTGGCCTGGGCAGTGCCCACCGTGGCTGATGGCTGTGCATCCCGAGTCCAGACCATGAACCGTGGCCTTGGCGGGCAGGATGAAGGTGCAGGCGGGGGCGCGGAGTCGCCCGCAGGGAGGAGCCCGGCCCCCTCTGCTGCTGGCTGCCCAGTCCTCCCGCTGCCCTTCCAAGGAGCGAGTGGCCCCGCGGTGGCTGCACGGCCGGCCGAGCTGTCCGCCACCTCGCTCCCACCTGACACTGGGTGCCAGCGGGAGCCCCTCCTGAGGGCACGCAGTGTCTGGCGAGAGGCTGCACCGGGCGGAATGGGGTCCCACAGCTGGGACTGGGCGTTGGGCTCGACAGAAGCCCTGGGGGTTCGCACACATCAGGAGACCCTTGGGGCCATCACAGGGGGCCACAGGCTCGGAGCACAGCCCGGCGCTGGCTGCCTTTGACACTCTCTAGCCACAACACCGGGCCGGCAGGAGCTGGTGGCGGTAAAGAAGGTACTGGGGCCAGATCACCACTCCCAGAGCATTGGACAGGGATGGAGGCGGAGCCACCGACTGCCGGCTCCCTCCCCAAGGCGTGGGCTTGAGAAAGAATTAAGCGGAAGAGTCCTGAGCTGCGCGGGAACCTTGCCCCATGCTCGCGTTCCATGGAGCCTGAGGGGACAGAGCCGAGCCTCGCACTGCTGGCCTGACCCGCTGCTCTCCATCTGCTGGAGCTGCCGGGCTGCTCTGTGTGTGGCCAGCAAGTGAGGACCGCGGCCATGGCCACTGGGGACACTCAGGCACCTGTGCACAAGGGCGGTCAGCACGGTGCTGAGGACACGGAAGACACCAGAACTCGGGGTCTGTCTGACATGTTAGTGACCTGAGACCCTGAAGGAGGGACCACACGTCACATGTTCCACGGAACCAGTAATCCTGAGACTAAGAGGAACTTTGCCATCACGAGCACGTCTTTCTGACAAGAAAGGGCATCTGTGCCAGGGAAGGGCTGTGTGAAGGGCAGGGCGCCGGGGGGGCTGTGTGGCCACCCCAGGTCGTGGAAGGCACACGCGGGTCGGAGGGAGCACGTGGTCCCTCCCACGGAGGGGCGTGGCATCTTCCCAACACTCGCTAGGCACGGCAGCCAGCCCTGCGGCTCCCCGTCTCCAGGATGCGCCAGGTCGGTGGGCACTGCCCCCAGAGCGAAGGGACTCATGAGCATTCCCTGAGAACTGAGCCGACGTCGCCCAGAACACGCACCCGGCCAGGAGCAGCTCCTCTAGGAAAACGGCAGGAAACGGAAGACAGTTTCATCTCCTCCAAAAACGGATTTGCCAGAGAGACACGTTTCCTGTCCCAGAACTGGGAGCTTGGCTTGCAGCGTCTGGTTTAGGAGCACGTGGTGTCTCAGAGGGCCATGGGAACAACGGGGACAGAGGCTGTGTGCTAAGGGATGGACCACGCTGAGCACTGGGTGTCACCAGCACCCTGGCACAAGGATTTAAATGACCCACACACTCAGAGTAAACCAGCCAAGGGACAGAACGGTAAGGAGCCGACGCTTCAAGTATCAGTGTGGGCCACCGGCAAGAATCACTGGAGCGACCCCTCCAGGTCTGGGCTTGGTGTTTCAAAAGGCAGTTTCTGTCTGGAGGAAAAAGGCCAAGGTGTGACAGGTACAAAAAGTATGCCACGTGTGAGTGGCTTACAGGAACAGGGACGTGTCAGCTGGAGGTAAGGGGAGGGCCCAGGCACACATACCTGAAGGGCTGTCACACACGCAGTGGCACTGGACAACCGAGAGCCTCCACTTACATTGGGAAGGCCCTGCTTCTGAGTGACAAATGACAGCCACAAAGGCACCTGACCGTGGGTCCCTGGGCCACAACAGTGGAAAGCCAGACCAAATGAAGTCCGAGCTTTGCCCTCACATTCCATGACTGCCACCAACGGGCTGGAGTGGCTCAGCCATAAGCCTCCACAGGGAAGGTTTCTCCTGCTGCGTCCAAGAAAGCCCACTGGCCTCCCCAACCCCACGTGCCAGACAGGCCTGTTCACCATCTCAGCCATGGCTGTCCCTTCTGTCCCCTCTGGCAGAGGCTCTGCTGACCCCACACACCCTTCCCGGCTGCCTCCACTCTTGGGTCCCTCTCCCATCAACCCACCCGCCTCCCCACGCCTCCTTGTGACGTCCTGTCTCCTCAGGACCAGAGCAAGGGGACAGGGAGGGCGAGGGCCGGGGCGGGGGCAGAGGCTGGCAGGGTCCTCAGAGTCCTGGCTTTCCCTGTGGGAGCTGGGGACGGGCTGGCATGTCTGCCATGGCCTGGCCTCCCAGGGGGCCGGGGACCGCCACCCAGGCAACGCTCGTGGGGTCCAGAGCGCCCCAGCAGAGACCCCTTTCTGAGACGGTCAAGGACAGCTGAGGCCAGGGGAAGGGAACAGAAGGGAGGGGACTCCACCGGTGTCCCGGTGGCCGACAAAAAACAGCGGTGACCCAGTGGGAGGCGGAGAGAGGCATTCGTTCCTGAGAGGTGAGCACTCACGCACCGTGGGGTCGGTCCCCGCACCCGCCGTCTGTGGCACCCGAGACGGGCCTGCGGTGGCGCCGCGAGACTCACCGACATCGGCGGACGCGGTCAGTGGAAAGGCTGCGTCTGGGTTGGGGCTGACGTGTTTGGACCCACCCAGTGTGGACATGCAGCTGAGCAGCAGGACGTGGGGCCCTGGGCTAAGCCTGGCGCAGCTCCAAGGCCCTGGCACATGGCACGAACGGTCACCGTTGGGCTTCGGTTAAAACTGCCTTAGGACCTGGCGTGGGGCGCAGGGGAACAGGGCACGGACAGCGCAGTGCAGAGGGGGTGGCTGCAGGAGAGTCAGGGACAGCGTCCTTCCTGACACTCCCTTCTGGCCGGAAGAGGGGCGGGGACAGCAAACGCAGCCCTGCCTCCTGGGTCCAGAACCCAGGCTACTTGGACAGTTTGCTGATGACTCTGATGAGGGCACCGTTTTCATCCTTCAGCCTCTGGTTATCCGATTTCAGTTCTGTTAATACCTGCAGGGCGGCAGATGGAAGGCGTGTTAGCCCCGACGTGGCCGGGCCAGGAGCAGGGCCCGCTGAGACAGCTCACATACGGGACTGTCACCACCCTTTCCCTGGGGACGCAGAGCCCTTGCATCCTCCACTCGCTGGGCCGGTGATGTCACTACTGGGGACCACAGCCCTGTGCCCTGTGACCCATCTGCAGCCGTCCCTCACGTCTGCTGTGCGGGCTCCCTCTCCGGTCCCACTGAGCCAGCAGCACCTCCGGCTGTTCCCGCCCCTGGGTCACCGCAGTCCAGACAAGCTAGGGACAGTGCCAAGGGGAGTCGGTGAGGACACGGGGAGGATTCTGGACAGGGGTCCTGGAGTCGGCGAGGGTTAAGGGAAGACACTGTCCCCAGCCCCACCAGGATGGAGTGCGGGGTGGGGGGCTCACCCTCCCCCCTCCGAGATGGCATCACGTGGCCATTTTCACCCTCCAGCCCAGGGTGCTTCTAGATCTTGTCATCGCAGTGCCAAGGTGCAGTGAGCACTTGGCATGGATTTAATTGTCCCCAGAGCTCCCGCCGACAGGTGCCGAGGGCACCAGGCCTCACCAACTGTCAGCAGTTTCGGGGTGCTGTCACCCCCAGACAGGGGCTCTGGGGTGGGACAGAGCTCCCCGCCATCCTGGAACGCTGCACAGTCTCGTCTGACCCAGCAGCCCCGGGCCCTAGCCCGACAGCCACGCCTGTACCAGCAACCGGACGCTGACGGGTGCGTGCTGCGTCCGAAACGCCAGCGGGTCTGGCAGGGGCTCGAGAGGGCTCCAGAGTCTGCGCTGCATCCGTCCGGCACACACACGCTTCGTCTGGTCAGTCAGTCCCACCACAGGACATGTGACTGGCGACATTCCCAGGGCTCGAGTGTCAGGAGGCCCGCGTGGCGGTCATCTGGCTGCGCTGCCCGCCACGTAGGGGGCTGGCGGGCACACCGCCAGGGCGGACGGGCCGCTGGCCCTGCACGCAGGACCTAGGTCCGGTTGCGGGTGTGTGTGCACCCACCGTGGCACCAGGCGTCTGCCGTGGGCGGGGAACGTGGGGACAGGTGCGGCGTAGCAGGTGCACACGCCACAGACTCACGAGTCCACAGACGAGGGAATAGGAACCGTGACCTCTCCAGGCTCGACCCCGGGTCACGCCTGCAGCATGGAGGTGGCGTGGGGGCGGGGGGCAAACCTCGGGAAGTGCAGGAGCCGGAATCCCAGCCTGTCACTGGTGCGATTCTCTGGCGACCAGGCCCCCTGCCGAATTTCTAAAGGGCAGTCTGAGCCCACGTCCCCTGGAGTGGGGGCTCTGTGAGGCCCACAGGCAGTGATGGGTCGGGCCCGCAGGCTGTGCAGGCTCCAGGCTCTGTGGACGACGGCAAGCGGGCAGGTGACCCACACACATTTTACTGAGAGGACGTGAATCCCGAAGACACCAAAATAACACTTGTCCTTTGGCCTTACCTCTCCTGTGTCCGGCCCAGTCGGAGCAGCTCTGGCTGGTGCCCGCCGCTGCCTCCGTCCCTGGGCCTGACCACGGAACTTTCAGAGACACCTGCCCGGGACGGCTAAGCGGTCCCCATCTCCTATCTGCCCCGGGCCTGCAGCTGGCAGCGGCAGCTCTGACCGGGTCCCGGAGGCCGGGATGCACGGCGCTTCCCGGCGGGTGGGCCCCTCGAACAGACCCGGGCTCCTCGCCTCTTTCCTAAACGAACAACTCGCCGGGCCTCAATGACTTATTTCCACATCCAGAACGTAATTCTTTCAGAAAAAGGTGGCCACAATTCAGTGACATCTCAAGGGAGTGTCAGAAAGCACAGGAGTGGGTGCAGAAATCAGGAGGAGGCCTCCACCGACTCCTAGGGGCGGGGTGGGAGGTGGGGGCTGGGGGATGAGCAGACCTGACCTGAGGTGGGGGCGTGGCCAGGTAGGCTCACGCGGGACCCATGTCACGTCAGCTTTTTAAATTTCTAAGTGTCCAGTCTACCGTGGTCTGATGTTAAGGCACCTTGGACAAGTAAAGCTAAGGGGCACGCGTCCTCAGACATCACGTCCCACAGCCTTCGATGAGGGAACAAGGACACAGGGTCCTCCTGAAGCTGCAGAGACCTGGGGCTGCAGGGTGACGGGGACTCGAGCGGTCCTGCTGAGCCTGCCTTCCCGCTGCCTGGCAGGGGGAGGGGTCCCCGCCTGCACTGGGTGACACGTGGTGGCACGGCAATGCACGCCGGGATACGGTGTGCTCTCCAGGGCACTGTGAGGGAAACTCAGCAGCAAAGCGCAGGGCCCCGCCCGCTGTTGGTCCGCCTGGGTGGTCCCCTCTTTGCCCCCAGTGCAGCTGGAGAGCTCTCTCCCTAAAGGCCCAGAGAGCGACTGCAGTTCGCGGGCCCCACGGTCTGGGCTGCGACCACGGACGGGTGACAGCACATCGGCACACGCGTGTGGCTCAGTTCCAGTCAAGCTTTACAGTGGAACCGAAACTGGATCCCACGTAGGCTTCGCGCACCACAAAAGCTCCTGATTTTTCTAGCTGCCTGTGTGGCTCCTAGGCCGTCCTGGGGGCTGCGGGTGCAGGGCCTGTGATGGCAGACTGAGCCCCGCAATGGCGTCTCTGTCGGGGTGACACCTCTGGGCAGGCAAGAGCTCGGGGGAGCTGATCTTCCCCAGGGACGCTGTGCCCCTCGCTGCAGTGTGGGGACAGTGTCGTGTTCGCCAGCCCCTGCCGCACCATCCACACCAATGTCACATGCTTATTAACACCGCAGCGGCCAGGCCCTGGGCCCTGGAACCTGACGCACTCACGCCTGGTGGGGCCACTCAGTTCAAGTGACCCAGAACCCAGTGTTTTCTTAGGTGAAATGACTGTCCTGGGGAGCAAGCGAGAAAACGCACATAAAGCCCTCGGCACAGGACTGCGCAAATGACAACGGCCACCACGTTACCAGGCACCGAAGGTGGGACGTCTGGTTCCGCCCACCGTTCCAGACGATCCTACCCCGGAGAGAGACTCAACACACCGGGCCACCTGCTGGGTCCCCAGTTCTTCCTGTGTCCTGGATGCTGCGGCCGCCACAAAGCACGGAGCCTGGACTTGCCGCAGCCCGTGCCACGTGGCACTCCGTCCAGGCTGACGGCACCGCAGGACGCCTGTGACCGCCAACCCGGAGGGACTGGTGGACCAGCAGGAGGGAGAGCAGGCCCCGGCCAGGACGATGCCGACGGCTGCTGAGCGGTGCAGCGCACCTCGGGGAGGGAGACCGTCCGGGGGGTGACCCGCCACACCCTGGCTGGGAGGACGCGACTGCGAGCCTGGCTCTCAGACCCACACCCAGAGAGAGGCTGTGCTCGCCAAACACGTTTTTGGTTCTCAGCGGAAGACAGGCCCTGCCTCCGTGTCCTCTGCCAAGCCAGCCCCGGCCCCGTGAGAGGCTGTGCCCTGCCTGCCAGCCCCACGCTGGGTGGGGGCGGGTGACACACCCCAGGCCCCGAGATCGGAGACGGGGATGAGCAGAGCCTCCCGGGAAGAGCCAGGGCAGGGAGTGAGGGGGGGCAGAGGGCTGGCCCCCGCAGCTCCAGTGCCCCGCCCGGCACTCCTGAGTGTGGGAAACCGGCTCTGGCCAGTCCCCAGAGGCCGCAGTTCCCAGCCTGATGTCACAAAAGAATCGATCAACGGGGAAGCCCCAAAAAGCCCTGACGCCTGCCTCTCGCCCAGACCACTGGCTCCTTGGCGGCTGGCCAGGGCACAGTCACCCCAGGCCCAACCCCAGTGCTCGGGGGTCAGGCTGTGCTTGCGGGGGTGCTGCTGACTGAGAGAGCAAGGCTTCGGTGTGGCGATGGCCGACTCGAGCCATGTGCGCACGCAGGCCCGCTGGTCTCAGCCCTGACGCCTCCGCCTGGTGACCAGCCGTCCCAGATCCCCGCATGGGAGGCCGACGGCGGACGAGCCCGGGGCCTCTGGACCCAACGCGCGGACGGCACCTGCCTGGAGGGCGGACGGGGGCGAGGTGGACAGAGGCGTGGGCACTACAGCTCCTGCGTCTCCGAGGTCTCGGCGGACCTCGAGAGCCGGGCCACGACGCGGGCCAGGGCCCTGTTCTCGGCCTGCAGCTGCTCGTTCATCTGCTTCAGGGTTTGGATCTGTTTTAGCTGGTGGAGGTTCTGCAGAGTGAAACGTGGAGGGGACAGACAGAGAGAGACAGACCAGGAGGTGAGCAGGACGGAATCGCGTGACTTGCGTGACTTCTGTTTTCAGTTGGCATGCGAGAGAGGAGGCGAGGGGGGGGCGGCCACAGACAGAG